TTCGTGGTTGGTACTCATCATTAAGGAAAAAGACGGAGAGTTTTCGGCATCTTCTTGTGTCTTAAAGGCCATTATGCATGTTAGATATGGTGGGAAAATATTGGAGAAATTAATTAAGATTAAATTGCAAATAGCAATAGAAGCGTCAAGAAAGTAGTAAAAACGCAATTTGGACCCAGACAAGCAAGATCAACAGTGGATGCCATTAGAATTGTTACAGAAGAGGTGAGAGCAGCTGAGCCTGGGAATCATCATTCGAGAGCCATGGTACTGCTCGTGACGTTGGACGTTCAAAATGCATTCAATTCGGCTAGGTGGACGGATATGATAGAGGCACTGAGAAAACATTTTTTCATTCCAGTGTATATCCTAAGGATAATAGAGGATTGTTTGAACGATAGGTAGTTAGAGTAAAACACAAACGATGGAAACAGAATGAAGCAGCTAAGAGCAGAAGCAGCACAAGGATTGATTTTTCGATCTGACTTATGGAATGTATTGTACGACGGCATATTTCAGTTATGGCGACGAGAAACATGGAGGAAGCACAAATGAAACTTAACCAGAATATGCGGAGAGTCAACACGTTGATAAAAGGCCATGGTATAGACCTGGAAAAAACCAAGATAGAAATAGCTATTCTCTAACAAATGCAGCAGCATTAGCAGTATACGTAACTTAATTATTGGAGGCACATCAGTCAGGTAGCAGACAAAACGGAAATCCTTACCAAAAAGGAAGCTTATGGCAAACATCGGAGAACCAAATCCAGAAAAGACGAAAATTATTTTGACTTCAACACAATCAATACTATTGTATAGGGCGGAGATATGAGTAGATGCTTTAAAGAAGAAATATTGTAGAAAACGACTTTGCAAGCAGTAGTGGTGATATCGAACGTCATCCCGATAGAAGTGTTGACTCAAGAAAAGAAGAAAATATATGTAGGAGATCCAGACACAGATAGGGGAAACATCGCAAAATCAATATGACGGTGGAGAGGCAAAGGCATTGGTATAATGGTTGGAACGGCAGGGGAATGGCAAAACTATTAACGATTTTGCAAATTTGGAGCAACCGAAGACAGAGAGAAGTAAATTGCTGTCTGGACACGGATATTTTCGGGCTTATCTGTATAGAATACGACATAGAACGCAGGACGTCGATATTGTGAGATATCGGTGCAGCACACCTTTTTGGAATGTGGGGAATGAAACGAAACATCGTTACATCAACCGTGGAGTAGATGACACTTGATAACATTGTAGAAATGGTGCTAGAATCAGAAGACGTATGGAATATTATAGGTAGACCTATAAAAAATCAATATACAAAATACGTTAAAAACCTACATAATATTCTATAAAATAAAAATTTTCAAAAGTGCAATATTTCAAAAATCGCGAGATCTCAAATTCCCTGATGTAGTTTTAAAGTAAGTACTTAATCATTTTGTTTTTTAATCTTATTCAATTTGGCAAAGTGAAGAAAAAACTGAGATCTTAAAAGATTCAATACTGTTTCTGCCAATTATTAACCAAAAATACATTTTTTTACTTTTATAAATTTAGCTATAACTCGTTGGAGATAATGTATATAAACTGTAGACATAGTTAAGAAAGAGTGCGACTTCAAACTCTAAATTCGACTTACTCGAAACATAACACTGGGATCGCGTGATATTAATATATTTCGTAGTGTAGATAGTCGAGTCCTGTTCCTAACTACTTTACTGTTTGTATTACTTACATCATGCCCAATGAAGCCGCACTCAATTACTACATCTTTATGCAATTATGAGATCGGACGTAGCAGAAAGTAAAGTAACATTGAAAGATTTGTATCCAATTTTATATTTTAAGCTCTTAGGAGTGATATTTAGAATGTTTATAAATAATAACGATGCGTACTAAATTTTCAAATGAAATATTAATCTGTTAAACAACACTAATATTGCTGAAATAATTAGCTTTTTTAAGCTATATGATAACCATTGTTATTAAAATAATAGTAGATTCTTTATTTTAATAACATGTATGATTAAAATAACTACCAGCAATCTTTTTAACCATTTCTACTGTTAATTTCATTGGTAATTTACAAAAAAAAAAGACAAATTACTCATACTATTAAAATAACAATAACTGACAACTTCATTTGGTAAAACAATGACTCGTACTATTAAAATTATCACATATATTAATTTCGATAATCGCTTTTATTATATCAGACTGCTCAAATTTGGTAAAGCAAAAATCGCAAGTTTTTAAGAAAACCAGAAAAAATAGAGTTGACCTTGTCAACTCTGTGATACCCGTACGAGTTTGTTATCCTATGTGCGAATAAATATACCATAACTAACAATGGGACAGACTATGACTTTAAGTTGCCGTATGACCATATTAATTTATGCAAAATTTCAGTACTGTGTTTTTAAAAATGCTGTGTGTGCCAAACTACTACTGAAGTTGTATGGCAGCTATCAGAAAGAGCCAAGAAACTTTAACGAATTTTATCAAGCACATCCGCCCTACTAATATATTGGCTTGTGTGAAATATCAATATTACAACTTTTATAGTTTCTGAGATATAGCCAAATAGCTTTTAAAGTTGTATGACAGCTACCAGAAGGAGCCAAGCAATTTCAACGACTTTTATCAAACACATTGGGTCTAGTTATATATTCGCTTGTGTGAAATTTCAATACCATAGCTTCAATAGATTCTGAGATATAGACAAATAAATTTGGCAGTTGTGTGGCAGCTACCCGAATCGCTACCCAGTTTATTCCCAATTTAGATAGGGTTTTGGCACTTACTACAATAAATCATTTGTGAAAATTTGGTGAACTAATTGAGCTAAGGTTTTTGAATTATCGCTGGGATGGACAGCTAAACTAGCTCAGAATTCGACTCTGATCAAAATCATAGGCTTGAGTCTATTTTTAAGGCCGTTATTTCTTAGCGTTACAAATGGTAAGAAAAATTTAGTATACCCTTCGAACATATGTTCGTACGGGTATAAAAATCACGTAATGGAATATAAAAACGCCAAAAAACTTCATCCAAACTTAGGAGAAAATTATATATTATTGTATAATAAAAATTATAATGTAAAAAATTTTGGAGCTATTTTATATATATTTATAGTTTTTCATCTTTATTCTATTTATTAAGTTTCAAAAAAAAAATTAACAATATTTAATAACTCTTATAAAAAAGAATGAAAAAACAAAGCTACCTTCTTCACGCCAATCTTATTAACATTATATTAAATGTATTTTTTAAATTCCTTTTTGTTAGTTTAAATAAATTTGAATATCGTTAGTATTAAGGTAAAATATTTTTAATGTTAAATTTAAATTAACTATTACAATGTTTATACATATGCCATTAAGTTCGTCACAGAAAACCGAAGACACAGAGAAGTAAATTGCTGCGAAATGCAGTTTCCGTCTGGACACGGATATTTTCGGGCTTATCTGTATAGAATACGACATAGAACGCAGGACGTCCACATTGTGAGAGATCGGCGCAGTACACCTTTTTGGAATGTAAGGAATGAAACGAAACATCGTTACATTAACCGTTGGGTAGATGACACCTGATAACATTGTAGAAATGATAACAGAATCAGAAGACATATGGAATATTATATGTAGGGCGATAGAAGATCAATATACAAAATACATTAAATACCTACATAATATTCTATGAAATAAAAATTTTCCAAAGTTCAATATTTCAAAAATCGCGTGATCTCAAATTCCCTGATGTAGTTTTAAAGTAAGTACTTAATCATTTTGGCGAGGAAAATAGAATTAAGGAACTGTTGTTTCTAAATTTTAATATGTAGAATGATACTTTTGGCAGTGACTCAATTTTTTAATCTAGAATTTAAAATTTTATAAGAGGGTTATTAATTTCATTAGTAATTTAAAATAAATGACAACCTCATTTGGTAAAACAATGACTCGTACAATTAAAATGATCACATATATTAATTTCGATAATCGCATTTATTATATCAGAGTGCTCAAATTTTTTAAAGCAAAAATCGCAAGTTTTTAGAAAAATGAGCAAAAATAGGGTTGACCTTGTCAATCAAATTAAAAATTAACAATATTTAATAACTCTTATAAAACAGAACAAAAAACAAAGCTAAATTTTTTTTAGTTAGTTTAAATAAATTTAAATGTCGTTAATATTAAGATAAAACCTTTTTAATGTTAAATTTAAATTAACTACTACAATTTTTATACATATGCCATTAAATTTTTCCGATTGAAAAATATCAGCATCATCATCATTATCATTGCTTAAATATTTTGTTATGTTTTTTAAGAAAACAATTGTATTTGTTAAATAAAATAAGAAAAAATGTGATGTGATCAGCACATAACCCACCGCAATGTATTTTGCCTAGTTTAGTGCAAGTGTATTTCGAAGGAGGCTGGAACACTTGGTTGTTGCCAGAAGTGCGGGTAAAATTTTTGGGGGTAGCATTAGATTCCGAGCTTCTTGGGCGAAGTTAGAAAGAGGCTGTGCAAAGTTAGAAAGGTGCAGGCCACCCGGCACTTATGGTTTACTGAGCCATATCGGGAAGGACGTGGAACATCATCATGTGGTGGTTGTGTACTATGGTAGTGGTACCGTTCCTTATAAATAGGACGGCGGCATTGGCGAAAAACCGTGGCATTTTGTACAGCCAGGAGGAAACTATAACGATTTGAGAGACATTTGAGAGAATCGTATGCATTTCAGAGACAGAGGCTATGAGAAAGTGCCCAACCGCGGCAATGGAGTCGATTTTGAGATCTAGTCCTTCGTGTCTTGTTGTTGAAAGAAATTTTCATAATTTTCTTTCTTTTAATGTTAAAAAAAAGGTTAATTTAGTGATATTACAATTAAGTGGTACTGCAATTTACAGTTTAAAAAAAGACATTAATGAAGGAGTGATAGAAAGAATTTATGTGACTAAAATATAACTCATATTCATACCATAGTAATTTTTCGCTTGCAATAGTTGGGAACCGTTGTTCGTGGTCAATAGTGTTTTAATAACGCTCAGTTGACCAGTACGAATGTTTGCATGAATTTTTTCTCTTCTTTCCTAAAATAATATATTTTAATATCTTTTCAAACTTTTTGATAGAGGAAATGAGCGTTTTACTTCAAAAGGTCTAACATTTTCCAGAAATTTGACGAGATCAGAATTTTTACGCAAGCGGCATATATCAACAATAGTATCACCTTCTTCCTCTATATCCAAAATGTGATCATAACCATTAATGAGCATATGCTGAAAAACTTTTTCATCTCCTGTATTTGAAATTTGTTTTAGTGCAATAAAAAAGTCAAAAGATGTGTTAAATTTTATAATAGTTTTAATTGAGTTTTCATTATTTTTATTGATGTTTTCAAAATAAAAATTTGTTTTTACCAGTTGTCGCCAAACCGATGATGTATCTGTCGATTTCTTTAGCATTTTCAGGTTGATTAGCTTGAAGAGATACATCTCTTGCTGTGCGATACAATTCGTCCCTGTATGTGATGTCAATATTTGATTCATCGATTAAGGCAATTAGAGCATTTCGACTGTGTGATCTAGCACATGCAAAGTGTAACAAACTTTGACCATGTTCGTCCCTTTCATCTGCTAAAATGTTTGAGTCTGATAAACTTGAATCATCATCTGTAATATCATTTCCAATACTAAATGCAAATTCAGACACTCGAAACGGTGCTTCAATACTTCTTGCACTCGGTTTTGGATTTTCTGCAGGAAAATATGAGCAATCAGTTACTTTAGGATTAGTTTCAACGCTCACATTAACAGCACCACGTTCAGTGTAATCCTGAAGAAAAATGCTTAAGTACTCAATAGGATCATCAGGCCTCTTGTCAACAATTTCGGTCAATGCCTGGATTAATGGATCCGCTAGATCTAACAAAAATTTGGAAAATGTGTCACAATTTACTGAAATGCTAAAACTTACTTAGAATTGAATAAACTTACTACTTGCCAAATATTTTCCATCCTCAGTGTTGTAATGTAACATGTATGATTCAGCTTTATTTTTAAAATTATTAAAATAATTGTTCTTCAGCACATACGCGCTAGACTCTCTACATATTCCAACTAAAAATATCACCCAAAAAATAAAGAATTAAAAATTTAAACATAAAATCAAAATTACTTCAAATACTTGAAATTTAATCGGAGTATATGAAAATTATTTAAACTAGTAACTTAATATTTATAAAAAGACAAACAAGTCATGTAGAACTAATACATACACATATCTATTGATATTAATGTTCAATGCCATTTTTCATTCGCACAATCTTACAAAAATTCCTCTAGTTAAAAGAGCCAAAAACTTTTAACTTAATGGAAATTTCTTCATACAACTGCAGAACAGATGGATGACGTAATCAAAGGAACGAGTTAAAAGCAGAAAAATTAAAAAAGTTTTCTCCTCGAACTGGACTCGAACCAGTAACCTACCGCTTTTTAGGCGGACGCTCTACCAACTGAACAACAGAGGTATGAAGAAATTGCCGACGAAATGTTCTTCACATTGCTTTATACTGTAATCCACATGATTACTAAGTATTTATTCAAATTGAGTTGCTACATGCAATCTACTATTTGAAACATACAATTAAAGAACATATATATTAATGCCCTTGGCATACATACATATTTATGTATATTATGAACAAATGTACATATAAATTTTTGGGGCATTTGACATTTGTGAAAAATTATTTTCTTTTTCTTGCTTTTTAGCGCTTTTCCAAAAAATTTATCTGAAGTTCGGCTAAACCGATTTTGATGAAATTTTATATGTAAATTGATTTCGACTATGGCACGGATTTATCAACCTTTGGGATATATCAGGCCTCAAGAACTGAACTTTTAAGCGGGTCTGTTTTACATTTGTGATTGAAAAAAGTATGCAACAAATTTTCTGGAAATTTCATATATAAGTCTCATACCAAATATACATTTTTGCGTATATAAAGAGAAATAATCAACTGATTTCGTTGAAATTTAATATTTAAATTTGATGTGTTAAAACAATGTATCTGTAAATTTTTTGGAAAGATCAGGGCTCGGAAACTGATCTGAGGTCGGTTTTACAATTTTTACAAAATCTACTGAACAAATTCATGGAATTTCCTGAAATTTAATATTTGGTCTCTGGTTATCAGAAGCCAGTATTAAATACCAGAAGCTACTGGCGAACTTTTTGTATAATTTAGGCGGCGCAAAATAAAACTCTCCTAAAAGCCAAATACACGTTTTTCTAGGTGTGTTATCTAAAAGGTTATTAGTGTCTTTAAAATTGCGAAGGAACTGTTTAAAACGTATTTCGATAATCTTCTGGAATACTTTTACAAATTTAGACAATATACATTGCGGTCGGATACCGTTTGTAACGCTAAGAAATAATGGTCTGAGGTATAGACTCAAGTAAATATTTTTGTTAATCGTCGAAATCTGTGTCGATTTAGATTTGTCTGTCCGTCCGTCCCTACGATAACTCAAAAACTAATTGAGCTAAGTTCACCAAATTATTTGATTATATCTCTATGGTATTGAAATTTCGCTCAAGTAAATATATTACTAGGACCAATATGCTTAATGAGAGTTGTTCAAATTGCTTGGCCCCTTCTGGTAGCTGCCATACAACTTCCAAATTTATTTGGCTATATGTCAAAAATTGTAAAAGCTGTGTATTTGATAAAAATCGATGAAATTGTTTGGCTACTTCTGGTAGCTGCCATAAAACTTCAAAAGTTATTTGGCTATATTTCATCATCATCATCATCATCATTTGGCACTACAGCCCGGGGTAGGCTTTGGCCTTCTGCACAATTTGCCTCCAAGTTGTCCTTTCCTGCGCCGATGTTTTCCAATTTTGGATCCCTAGCTTTCGCGCATCGCTTTCTACATTGTCGACCCACCTTGTTCTTGGTCTACCTCTTGCACGACTGAGGTAAGGACGACCATTAAAAATCTTGAACTGTGCCCTTTCATCATCCATTCGGGCCACGTGTCCTGCCCATCTTAATCTCTGTGATTTTATAAATCTAACGATATCTTCTCCCCCTATTAACTGCTCTAATTCACTATTGCTTCGTCTTTCATATTCATCATTATCCAATCTTCTTGCTTTGAAAATTTTTCTTAATATTTTTCGCTCAAATATTCGCAGGGCTAGCATATCACCATTTGTCATTGACCATGTCTCACTACTATATGTCACAACTGGACGTATAATTGTTTTATATATAATTAGCTTGGTTCGTCTGGACAGTAGATTCGATTGTATGAGTTTCTTGTTGGCGTGATAGCTCCTGTTGCCCGCTTGTATTCTATCATTTATGGTATAGTGCATACTATTGTCGTTGCCAACTACAGCCCCAAGGTAGCTAAAACTTGTTACACGTTCGAAATTGTATTGACCAATTGTCATATTTTGTAATTGTCGCCTTCTCGGTGTTCTAGACATTTCTAGGTATTTTGTTTTTGCCTCATTTATTTTTAAACCGATTTTTGATGTTTCATTTTCGATTTTTACGAACGCTTCACACATGGCCCTGACACTTCTCCCAATTATAACAACATCATCTGCATATGCCATTATTTGTGACGTTCTTGAAAAAATGTTACCATCAGTATAAAATTTTCCTAAAGCATGTTGTAGAAGAAGATTAAACATTAGTGCAGATAGTGCATCTCCCTGTCTCACACCAGTTTTAATTTCAAATGCACCCGAGGTTTGTCCTTGTAAAACTATTTTGGCTTTTGAATTTTTTATTGTCATTATCATTAAATTTATAAGTTTTTGCGGTATTCCTTGTCTTTTCAGTGCTATTTCTAATTTAATTCTATCTACACTATCAAAAGCTTGTTTATAGTCAATAAAGAGCAAATGAAGATCTACATTGTGCTCGTAGCATTTCTCCATATTTTGTCTCAGTAAAAATATTTGGTCTACCGTCGACCTATTGCTTCTGAACCCACATTGGTATTCATCTATTATCTCCTCAGCCATTGGTTTGACACGTTCATAAATTACATTAGACAGGACCTTATACATACAGTTTAATAACGTGATCCCTCGATAATTATTACAGTCTGTTTTGTCACCCTTTTTGTGTATGGGACAAATCAAACCCATATTCCACTTTTTAGGTATAGCCTCTTGTTGCCAAATGTTACATATTAATCTATGTATACTTTTTTGAAGCTCCTCACCACCCATTTTTAACAGCTCTGCCGTTACGTTATCCTCACCAGGAGCCTTATTATTTTTCAATTTAAAAATTGCTGTTTTAATTTCGTCAAATGTTGGTAATATATCCAGGGGCTCTGCCGTCATCAACTCTTCTTCGTTATTTTGTTGTTGTTCATGGGGCACGTTTAATAGCTCTTTAAAATATTCTACCCAACGTGACATTATTTTATTTTCTTCTAATAACATATTCCCTGCCTTATCCCTACATATATTCAGTCTTGGCTGATATCCATTCGTCATTTTCTTAATATTATTACAGAATTTTCTAACGTCATTTTTATTGTGGTCCTTTTGAATATTTTCTACCTTACTTTTCATCATTTGTTTCTTCTTCTTTTTGCAAATTTTATTAGCAATTACTCTCTTTCGTTTATATTCTTCTCTGTTTGCTCTTGTATTCCGCTGCAACATTTTTTTCCGCGCTTCATTTTTAATTTCAATTGCATCTTTACATTCGCTGTCAAACCATTCACTATTTCGTTGTGTTGGTGCCTTACCCACTATTTCTGTTGCAGCTGATATTATGGCTTTTTCGATATTTTCTGTCATATTCTCTATTGTTTCGTTCTGACTGTTTACATTGTGGAACAAATGATGCTGTATTTTCTCTTGGTAGTTTTCTTTGACGGTCGGCTGTAAGAGTTTTTCTGTATTCCACTTTATCTTTTTCTTACCTCGCTGCTTTGCAATATTTGATATTCTTTGCCTCACAGTAACCCTAACAAGGTAATGGTCACTGTCGCAATTAGCACCTCTGCACGACCTTACATCAATTATCGACGAAGCCCTCCTTGTTGTAATTAAAACATGATCAATTTGATTTACTATGCCGCTCCCCGGTACTTTCCATGTGCCTTTGTATATATTTTTACGCTCGAATGCCGTGCTTTTTATTTTCATTGATATTTCATCGGCAAACTGGCATAACCGCTGACCATTATTGTTGCATACTTCATGTAATGAGTATTTACCAGCAATATTCACTACATGCTGCTCTCTGCCCACTTTTGCATTGAAATCCCCCATCAATATTAAAGTGTCATATCTATCTACTTTTTCGCACACATTACTTAGATTTTCATAAAATATATCTTTGTCTTCAGCATCTGCATCCTCGATCGGGGCGTAAGCGGTTACTATTGTGATGTTGCAAAATTTCCCTTTTAATCTTATCATAGATATTCTATCATTAACTGGTTCAAAAGCCATTACGGTGCTTTTTAACTTTTTGTTTATCATGAATCCAGTACCATACAATCCAGTTCTCCTACCAGGTGCGCTTCCGCTGTAGAATAACGTATATTGAGGCTTTTCGATTTTTCCTTTATTGGCCCACCTTATTTCTTGCAAAGCCATAAGGTCGATTTTATATTTTGCCATTTCATTTGCTACCTCTTGCATCTTCCCTATTTGTAACATAGTCCTAACATTCCAAGTCGCTATTTTCAAATCATTATCCTTTGGGCGGTTCAAGGTCTGTGTTCCATTATTTCGACGAAGTGAAGGGTATAAAAACTCTTAAAAATAATTACAAAAAAGTACATAATTAAGCAAATGGTTGGCCCTAACTTTTTAGATCTAATATTTTTTCAGTAATTTATTTTAGAACCTCGCTTTGAGTTTTATCGCTTAAAATCGTAAATTTCCGTAGACCATAAGCACTTTAAGCGAACAATTACTGCATACCTGTAAAATAATTCGCCACAAATTTAATTCCATGTACATATTAGAGGTGGAGAACTATCGATGACACTATTGAAAGTTTTCAATTATCGAAACTATCGATATAATACTATTACCAAATAAACATCAATTTAATTATGAAATTCATAAAACTTAAAATATAGTTTTGAATTTTATGAATTCTCTAATATTGTTTTCGTACGTATACACATTAATTTAAAAATCAGTGAAATTTGAAAATTTTTTCTGTTTTTCATTCCAAATATAGTGAAGATGTGAAATGAGGCTGACATTGAGATTCATTATATTCTTAATATTGCTTTTTTGGAATGTACAAGCGGAAAAACTTGTTACTATTTAGGTCAAAGTTGAAGTTTAACACACCACATGTCGTTTGAATAGCAAATTTACCTAAACGTTTATATAAGCGAGTTGTTGGCGTAAAATACAATACTTTTATTAATATTCTAAAATATTTCAACTTCTCAGTTTATTGCCAACCGTCAAAAATTTTTTTTCGCTTAACGTAAGCATATGACAAACTTAAAAGCTTGATAACAACAAATAATTTTTTAGCGATAAGATAAAGAATGAAAAGTTAGCAAAGTAAAAATATTTAAAGTTAATATTATGCACATTACAATGCAAATAATATTATTTGTATATACTATTATGTGTATAACACTATTGCATATTTACGGAAACCGTGACTTCAATGCGCTTGCAACATAAACTTTACCGGTGCATTATACTCTACAGCAAGTTGCGTTACAAAGCTATCGATATATTGCGCTAGTTTAGCGACGATATATCGAAAATATCATATGCATTTGGTTAATGCATGTGAATAAAATGCGTTATTTATGTAATACTAATACAAATACAATAATAATCATATGCATATAGCATACGATTTCTATACAAAAGGTCTCAGGTTTGAACCCGAAAAATGCGGATTGTCAGATGAATTTTTTTTATTGATAATTTCATTTTTTCTTATTTAAAATCAAATTTTCAGTTGCCGCCCTAAATGTTTTTTCTAAAATACAATATTTGTAAAAGTTTAATGCATTAAAATAACATTTTCTTTCTAAGTTTTGTCTTTAAAATATATTGTCAAGAAATTCAATGCACATTCAGAAATTCAATGATCGCGGAAAGAATACATAAATCAATACTTACGTACATGCTTTTTCGCACTTTTCCAAAGAATTTTTGAAAAAAAGTGCTTATTAGTTTCACCCCTCTTTAAATTAATTTTTACTTAATTTCAAAGACTGCATAAATCGTTCATCCTAAATATATGCAATCCCAGAAATAGTTTCGTTTAAGAATGAAAATAATTTTAATTGTGTGATAGGTATGCATAGACTGTATTTAAAAGCAGTATTTTCGCTTGCTAAAGGGAAAAGCGCTACAATAAAAACAATTGATTTGACAAAACTTTATTATAAAACAATATAAATTTTATTACTTTAACAATTTTCTTTAGGAAGTGTTTAATTCTTCTTATAACTCACACTTCCAAAAATTAATTTATGTACAATATTTATACTACCAAAAGTGAATAAAAATTACCCCTTAAAGATGTAGTACAATTTTGTAAAAAGTGGTCAAAAAGGATAATATTATAATATTAAATTTTTGAATACAAATATTTATTGATTATATATCATATACGTAAACATTATGTATGTATATTTTGTTTTATTTTTATAAAAAAATAATTACTAAAAGCGGAATAGATATATTTTTTATACTGTTAGAAGTAAGACCGAAATATTTATTATACAATGCTTTCTTTTTCTAATAACACCATTATACGTGGCTTACGCGAGTTCTCATAACTCTCATACTAGTTTTGGTATGAGAGTTATGTGGTTTAAAAACTCTTTTAATATAAGCTTAACTTTCATTAGAAGAGGAAGGGTGAAAAATCTCGAAAGACACTGCCAGACGAAAAGCAGTAGTGTGGAACTTTAATCCACTAAAAAACACTCTCCTCAAAATAAACTACAAAACTAGTCGGAAACGACTAACAATTAATTTTGCTCTAACTTTTTTGATTATTTTCAAGCTTTTGATCTAGCACAATAGTGACTAAGTACTTATTGTTCCAGATAAAAAACTTTAAACTAACTCGAGAGGTCTCGTACGAATTATATTTATTTTATTTTTCCGTAATAAAATAAAAAAAATAAAGTTGCGTCAAACCAATGGTTTGTATTGTAGCACTTTTCCCTTCAACAAGTGAAAATTCTGCTTTAAAATACAGTCTATGTGTACCTCCCACACTATTAAAATTATTTTCATTCATATTTAACTATTTCTAGGATTGCCTATATTTAGGATGACAAATATATGTAGTCTTTGAAATAAAGCAAAAATTCATATAAAAAGGGGTTAACATAATGCTCGATTTTAAGGGTTAATTGTGTGAGTTAAGAAAATAATTATATTTTTTAATTTCATGGAATTTACCGTTAGCTTTTCGCGTTTATAAAAATTTGAAAAAACTTGCGGTTTCGGAAATATGAGGTGTCAAAAATTCGAATTTTACGAATTTCAAGAGGCGATAACTTGAGAGTGGGTGGAGATGGAAAAAAAGTTTCTTCTAACGAAATGAACTATTTGTTAATGTCTAAAAGCCCCTAAAATTTCAAGCTTCTGCAGACTGAGGTCTAGAAGAAAACCGACATCAAAAATTTGGAAAAAAATAACTTTAGGTAACGGTAAATTTGAACGGCCATTTTGTTTTTCTAAAGTTTAACTATAGTATACCGCTCTAGGGGAAGCAAGCCGCTGTCTTTCTGCGTTTGAAAAATTTCAAAAATGCTTATGGTTTCATTGCAACAAATATTTAAAAAGGCCATTTTTAGGGTTTTGGGAGGGTATAACTTCTACAGGGGGGAGATAGGTAAAAATTTTGTTCTACGGAAATAAGTTTCTAGTGAAGGTCTATGTACGTATGAAATTTCTAGTGAAGGTCTATGTACGCTTTCTATCTTCAAGGGTGTAGAAGTTTTGTAAACAAAAAAGTGTCCACGGACGGACGGACGGACGGACAGAGTGAAACTAATAAGCACATTTTTCAAAAAAATTTTTGGAAAAGTGCTAATAAAAATAAAAACACCAAAAATTTATATTTTTGTTTTACTTATTTATTTAACTTTACTTTAATCTTAGGACTAAGTTAGTTAATTTATTTATTTCAATTTACTTTAATCTTAGGACTAACAGTAAATTGAACTTTTCTTTTTGAAAGCAAACTTAATAATAATTATTGATATAAAATGAATTTATTAACCTAAGGTACTTGGAAGCATAAAACTATTTAGTCAGCAGTAATTACTTTAAGTGTGTTAATTTTATTATACCCGTACGAACGTATGTTCGAAGGGTATACTAAATTTGCCTTACCGTTTGTAACGCTAAGAAATAACGGTGTTAGATATGGACTCAAGTGTATGTTTTTGATCAGCGTCAAATTCTGAGTTGATTTAGCTTTGTCTGTCCGTCCGTCCGTCCGTCCGTCCGTCCGTCCGTCCGTCCGTCCGTCCGTCCGTCCGTCCGTCCGTCCGTCCTTCCGTCCGAACGATAACTCAAAAACTAATTGAGCTAAGTTCACCAAATTTTCACAAATGATTTATTGTAGTAAGTGCCAGAACCCTATTTAAATTGGACATGATTGGGGTATCGGTTCGGGTAGCTGCCATACAACTTCAAAATTTATTTGGCTATATCTCAGAAACTATAAAAGCTGTGATATTGAGATTTCACACAAGTGAATACATTAGTAGGGCCGATGTGTCTGGTAAAAGTCGTTGAAATTACTTCGCTCCTTCTGGTACCTGCCATACAGCTTCAAAAGTTATTTGACTATATCTCAGAAACTATAAAAGCTATGGTATTGAAATTTCACACAAGTGAATATATTAGTAGGGCCAATGTGTCTGGTAAAAGTCGTTGAAATTACTTGGCTCCTTCTGGTACCTGCCATACAGCTTCAAAAGTTGTTTGACTATATTTCAGAAACTATTAAAGCTATGGTATTGAAATTTCACACAAACGAATATATTAGTAGGGCCAATATGCCCCATAAAAGTCATTGAAATTACTTCGCTCCTTCTGGTACCTGCCATACAACTTCAAAAGTTATTTGGCTATATCTCAGAAAATATAAAAACTGTGATATTGAAATTTCACACAAGTGAATATATTAGTAGGGCCGATGTGTCTGGTAAAAGTCGTTGAAATTACTTGGCTCCTTCTGGTACCTGCCATACAGCTTCAAAAGTTGTTTGACTATATTTCAGAAACTATTAAAGCTATGGTATTGAAATTTCACACAAACGAATATATTAGTAGGGCCAATGTGTCTCATAAAAGTCGTTGAAATTACTTGGCTCCTTCTGGTACCTGCCATGCAACTTCAAAAGTTATTTGACTATATCTCAGAAACTATAAAAGCTGTGATATTGAGATTTCACACAAGTAAGTATATTAGTAGGGCCGATGTGCTTGATAAAATTCGCTAAAATTTCTTGGCTCTTTCTGGTAGCTGCCATACAACATCAATAGTAGTTTGGCACAACCAGTATTTTGAATAACACATAGTACTGAAATTTTGCATAAATTAATATGGTAATACGGCAACTTAAAGTCATAGTCTGCCCCATAGTTAGTTATGGCACATTAGTTATTTGCACATAGGATAGCAAATTCGTACGGGTATCACAGAGTTGACAAGGTCAACTCTATTTTTTTCTCGTTTTTGTATGTAATTTGATATTTTAACTTTTATTTGAAAACAATTTTTTTATGTGAAAGTAATTACTGTTGATTGTGAGTTTTTTTTTGATATTATGAAAAAATATGAAAATAAGAATTATGAAATTTATGGGAAAGAATTGTTTTTTATTATTTTAAGTTATTTTTAAGTTTTTTAAATTTTATAAAAGAAAGGCGACGGAAATAAGGTGTCGTCTTTCAAATTAACTTTATTTGAGTTTACTGACATAACTCCTCCTTCCCTTGTTTGAGGACTCTCCTGAGTCGTCATATTAATTTTAATTTTAAAAATTTTGTGCTTCCAGACAAATGTTATAATTATGATCAAAATGGTAAGTATACAAATAGATGTAATAATTTCGTATATATAATATGATTTTCTTTTGTATTTTATTTCTGTAATCTTGTTAGAATTTTCAATTTGATTTAAGATAATATTATCAAAATTTAATTCATTATTTACATTTGCAATATTTTCTTCAAAATTTGGTAATAAAAAATTATGTTAAAATTCAGTTTTTTCATTTTTTATTGTAAAACTGCTGATATTTATAGAACAATTGTTAAAATTAATCAAATAATTTCCATTCATAAGAAATGATCTTTCATCACAATTGCTTGAAAGATTTACATTATATTGGTTTTTTGCAATTACTAAACCTTCTTGGATTTCTAAAATTTCTGAAACATTATTAAATGATTTATTACAATTTCTTTTAATTAGGCAATTGTTTGATGGTTTTAAATTTTTTAAGTCTGTATTTTTTGTGTAAGTAAAAGTTTTATTATGAAATTTTAAAATATTTTCCGGAGTAAATTTTAATTCTCTATTTGTATTGTCAGTCATTGGTATTAGTAATGAAACTGTTAATTCTATAAATTCTTTTGGAATATTTATAGCGAAAATCAAATTGTTTTTGTCGTCAGTTAAAGTTCCTACTTTTATATTATGGAGTTTATCAAAGTCAATGTCGTATTCAATAATTTCTTCCTTTGTTAGTAAACTACTGTATATTGTACCTGATCTTGCTGATGAAATGTTATCTTGTAAGTGTTCTATATTGTCTTGTAAAATTTTCAGTTTTAAAGCATAGTCAGTGTAGATTGTTTGTATAAATAATTGTTTGTCATGTTCTTTGATCATATTGAATTTTCTTAAAATTGTGTCTCTGTCTTTTTCTATAGCTTTCTTAAGTTTTACAAAAGACTCTTTAAAATTTTTATTAATTTTTACTTGTTCGTTTAAATTGGTTATTGCCATATGATTATTTTGTGTTATAATGTTTAGGTGATTTTCGATTTCTAATCTGTCAGTATTGTCCATTGTCCCATAAAGCCATTTATGTGCTGTGCCTACAAAGTTAATTAGACCTCGTTTTTGTCTATGTGGAATTAATGTATGTATTTTTGTACGAATTGTTTGTATTTGAAGCTTTAAAGTGTTTTCTCTTTCGTCAAGGTTTGCATATTTTATATTGGTTTCAAAAGTATTTAAAATGTTTGAAATTTCTACGATGATAACGATATGTAATATTGTGTCGTAAGTTTTTACTAATTTAACGTCATTTAATTTTATTTCTGAGTACCCAAGGTCTGTATTAATCTGTTCTACTGTCTGATGTCCCTGGCAGTAACTTAGTATTATCGTCAGCAGTAACATTTTGAATATTAATTTTACCTGCAAATTTAGTTTTTCGTTTAATATTGGATGAATGAATGTTATCTAGTTTATGTTTAATGTATTTGGGTTACTCTTTATGTCTAACACTTTTATAATTTTTTATATAACCCTCTACTCTATTATCTTGGTAGTTTTCCCTTTGTTTATTATTTTTATTTACAATTCCAGTTTTTTCTTTGAGAATATTATTATAAATTGTCTTGACGTCACATTTCCCCTCTTAGATGTTTATGGGGTTTTCTTTAGTTGCAGAATGATAGCTATTATTGTACCATTCTATAGCCTTAGAAACCTTTTCTTTAATATTAAGTTCTTTATTTTCTATTCCTAGCATTCTAATATTCTCGTTATCTGTCACTAATTTTGTAAAATGTCCTCTTTCTTCTTCTTCTTCTTCTTCTTCTTCTTCTTCTTCTTGTTATAGGTCCATATGTCCTGTTTTATTTTTACATTGCCTCTGGTTGTTCTTGTGATTGTGAAGTCAAACATTGTTTCCACCTCTTAGGGGGCCGTCCTGGAAGCCGTGAGCCATGTGCGTAATTTTCGTATGCGATTTTTGCAATCCTATTTGTTTCCATCCTGTTTAGGTGCTCTCTCCATTCTCTTTTTCTAATTCTTTCCCAGCGAACAATATCTTTCACATCACATATTTTTCTTATTTCCTCACTGCGAATGTGGTCTCTGAGTGTTTTTCCAGCGATTTGTCTCAGAGTTTTCATCTCGGTGGCTCTTAATTTTTGCTTGGTGTATGAAGTTTCTGCTCTCAGTTCCGTATGTTGCAATGAGTCTTACGCATGTTTTATATATTTTAACCTTACTGTGCAGGTTGATATACTTGTTTTTCCAGACCACATCACGTAGGCACTACGAGACTAAAGCAGCTTTTTCAGTTTGATGTTTTATTTCAGCGTTAAGTCTCTGCCTGCTGTAATTTCAGCGATAAGATATTTAAAATGCATTACTTGCTCGTAGGTGCTATTGTTTACTACGAGCTTGCATCTGATAGGATTTTTACTTATGACCATAGATTTTGTTTTGTCGGTAGATATTTGCATATTATATGTTTCTGCTGCGTTTGTAAACCTATATAACAATCTCTGCAGGTCGTCCTCGTTTTCGGCGATTAATACGGCATCATCTGCGTAGCATAGTATTTTCAACTTGTGAACCCCCATTCTGTAGCCAATATCAAGCTCCTCTGTTTTTTCAATTATTTGGTCCATTATCAAGTTGAAAAGCGTAGGGCTTATACTATCTCCCTGCCGTATTCCATCTTGAGTAGGTAGTTCCTCCGTTAGTTTCTTGTTTAACCTTAACTTTGTTGTGTTGTTATAATTCAAGTCGTTTATAATATTAACAATTTGAGGATGTATTCCCTTGTCGCGCATTATATTTAGAGCATCATTTAACTTTACCTTATCGAAAGCTTTTGTCAGGTCTACGAAACACAAGAATGCCGGGGTGTTATACTCTATTGATTTTTCAATAATTTGTTTTAATATGAATATAGCGTCAGTTGTTGATCGATTTTGACGGAACCCTTGTTGTGGTTCGCTGATATTGGCTTTTGATACAATTTCTTGCGCAATAATTTTGGTGAAGAGCTTTAAAACTGCGCTCAGCAGACAAATTCCGCGATAATTTTTAGGATTGGCTTTATCTCCTTTTTTAAATATTGGAATAGTAATGCTGCTTTTCCAATCTGCTGGAACTTGGCTACTGTTAATAATGATATTGAAAAATTTTGTTATTTCGCGTTTTATACCAAGCCCTCCATATTTTATTAGCTCATTTGAAATTTCGTCATTTGCCCAGGTGCTTTACGATTTTTAGTTTATTTATGTTGAGCCCGACTATTTCTTCTTCTATTGTGTAACTATCTTCAGCTGTAAGGTTTTCAAAATTATGTGCTGCATCTGTGTTGTTGTAAAGATCGTTAAAATGACGAATCCATTCTTCTGTGCTTATTTTTGTTGTTTCGAAAAGTTCTACTATGGGTTTTTTACGATTTCGGAGCATGTTCCAGACTTTTTTCTGGGCTCCGTACATGTCATATTCCATATCTGCAGAGAATTTTGCCCAGTACTCTTCTTTTATCTTCTTTACTCTCTGGTTAGTTCTGTTTCTTATTGCTATGTACGCTCGATATGTTTCCCTGGATCTCTCGCTCCTGTATTTTAGGTAGGTTTTTCTTTTTTCTGCACAAATTGTTTTCACTTCGATTGTGAACCATGGAGTTTTGTTATTTTTTGCATGGATATTAACTTTCCTGGTTCCAAGTGCCTCTTTCGCTGCATTGGTAATATTTGCTGATAGTTTTTTCCAAGCTTGTTCACTATTATCGAATTCCGCTATCGGATTCGCAGCTATTTTATTATTCAATCGATTTTCATACAAGGTTTTCGTGCTATCGTTTATCAGTGACTCGATGTTGAGCTTCTCTTTATATTCTGGCGGTTTTGATTTTTGCCAAGGTAGTTTTTCTGAGAATTTCATTAGCACTAGCCCATGATCAGACCCAATGTTTGGTGATGTTAATGTCCGAACGTCGAGTATTTGTGTTGGTATGCATTCTCGATTCGTAATTATAAAATCTATCATTGACTGTTGACCACGAGTGTTTGACCATGTATATTTGTGTTGCAATTTATGATTGAAGAATGTGTTGTTGATTCGTAGTAGATTTTGAGAGCAAAATTCTATTAGCTTTTCGCCATTTTCATTGATCACATTCTCATTGAATCGTTGTTTTATGCCGCTGATAACGTCATCACCGATTCTTGCGTTGAAATCGCCTAGTAATATCAACTTCTCATCCGCCCTTATGAAGCCAACTAAGTTTTGCATTTTGCAATAGAAATCGTCGATCTCCTGTGCCGGTTTGTTTATATCGGGTGCATAGGTACTTATCAGATGTAAAATTGATTTACCATAATTTAGGGTTACCATCAGCAGTCTATCATTTACGTATTTAACGTCACTGATGCTGTTCTCAAATTTTTTGTGAGTTAGGATTCCAACGCCTGATTTTGCTCTGTCATTTTTATCTTTACCACTATACAACAGAATGTAGTCGCCATATCTACCTAAACCTTTCCCTTTCTTTTTGGTTTCGGAAATCGCGCATATATCTATTTTATGCCGAGTTAGTTCGATAAGTATTTCATCACTTTTTGAATTCCAAGACATTATATTCCAGCTTCCTATCCTTATAATCTTCCTAAATCGTGTCCTTTTTCTAAACATGTTGTTACCATTTGAATCAGTCGTTTTATCCGAGGCATTGTTTGTTCTTTGAGCAGGTGGTTAGTTTCAAATCTTGAAGCAGGTTGCTAGCCTTACTCCAAGATCGGATACATTTTGAAATCTTGTCCAGGATTTTTTGTCGCACTATGAATTTTAGTCAAACGCGATGCAGATGCATCTACGTTTGTCCAGGGTTCACCACGAGGAGGTAAACAAGCACTTGCCAGTTTGCAGACAGTTACATCTTTGGTTTCACCAGTTGAAACGATCAAAAACTACGCTGTTGCGCACCGACCAGAACCCCAAGTTGAAATGTCCTCTTTGTGATTTATAATCCCTGAGTTTTTCAATTATTGTCTGATTGTTTCTATCTTCAAGGTAATAAGCTGTCGCGAATTTTGAAAATTTGTCTAAGAAAGTTGAAAAATTTGATTTGGAAATAGTATATATATCCATGTGTACAATTTGTTTAATATTTTTTGGAGTTTTGGTGAATTTAAATTTATCTTTTATTGGGTTTCTATCGTACTTTACTCTACTACATATGTCGCAGTTATTGATATACTTTTGATAAGAAATTTAAGATTTGGGAAATATATATGACGTTTTAAACCCTCGTAATTTTCTAAAATTCCTGTATGTCCAGTTTCTAATCTATGGTATTTATTTATTTGTTTATAAGCCTCTTCTTCTGTCTTCATATCCTTTGCATGGAATGAACATTTTACGAACCTAATTGTACCAATGTCCCTAAATAGATCTTTTATTTTTTGTTGCAAAATATTATATTGATAGTCAGGTAGATCCGCATAAATTCCTACTTTACCTGGTTTTATGTATCTTCTTAAAATGTCAGATAAATTATTTTCTAAGTCTTGTGAGTTTATATAAATTTTCCTATTGTTATGTACTGTTTCTGTTTCCCTAATTTTTTCATTTCTTAAAATAATTTGTGTTTTGAATCTGTTTACAACTGTCTCTAGTATTGCTATGTGGTCGTTAAGGTCTTCTTCCTGAGAGTGTATTGTCTCATTTTGGTCAAAGTTGTTATGTAATGAATTTGTGTCATCGTCACCCCCCCTTTCTGGGTCGATCGTCTCGATCGCATTAATTTCATGAGTTTCGTTGTTTATTCTGCTGAGAAAATCAGCCACCTTATTTTCTTTACCCTTTATATACTCGATATTAATGTTATATTCTCCTAGTTTGAGTAGCCAACGATACAGTCTTGGATTGACGTCTTTACCTTGTGTTTTAGAGTGTAACCACTTTAATGGTTGATGGTCAGTTAATAAGTCAAATATAACACCGCAAAGGTAAGGTCTAAAGTAATTAGTCAACCACACAATTACTAATAGTTCTTTTTCAGTTGCTGAGTATTTCCTCTCATGTTCATTGAGGGTCCTACTAGCGAAACACACTGGGTGGATATCCTGTTGGAGAACAGCACCAATAGCATTTTGGCTGGCATCTGTTATAAGTTTAAATTTTTTATTGAAGTCGGGGTACTTAAGTATAGGTGTTTCAGTTATTAATTTATTTAATTTTTCGAAGACATTTATGTAGTTCGAATCATTAGTGTTGACTTTCACATTTTTCTTTAGGTGTTGAGTCATAGGCTGGGCTACCTTAGCATAGTCACGAATAAATTTTCGGTAGTAGCCAGACATACCTAAAAACGATTTAATTTGTTTTTGAGTCTCCGGTAATTTCAATTTACGGTAATCCTCAATTTTCTTTGGATTTGATCTAACTCCCTCGGGTGTTAGAGTATGGCCCAAATATTCGGTTTCCTTAGAGAAGAAATTACATTTATCGAATTGAATCTTCAGATTAAATTCCCGTAATTTATTGAAAATTAATTTTATACTGTTAATATGCTCTGCTAGAGTCGTACTGAAAATTAAAATATCGTCGAGATAGACGACACATATTTTATATATAAAATATCGAAGAATATGGTTCATTAGGCGCTGAAAAGTTGCTGGTGCATTTTTCAGGCCAAAGGGCATCCTTATATACTCATAGTGCCCCCGAGGAGTAGAAAAGGCTGTTTTCCTTCTATCTTCCTCCTTTACTAAAATTTGATGGAAACCTTTGGCAAGGTCCAGGGTAGTAAAGTATTGCGCTCTTCCAAGTTTGTCTAGTATAGTCTCGATGTTGGGAATATGGAATTTGTCGTCAATCGTCACTTCGTTCAGTTTACGGTAGTCGATCACAATTCTCCATTTTTTCTGTCCTGAATTGTCCGTCTTTTTCGGTACAATCCATAAAGGACTGTTGTAACGTGAATTGCTCTCTTTTATTATTCCTTGTTTGAGCATGTCGGATATTTGTTTCGATATTTCCTGTTCGTGAATCTGAGGGTACCTATATATTTTAGAATATATCGGTCTGTCAATAGTGGTTATAATTTGGTGTTGAATTTCTGTGGTGCTAGTTAAATGATCCCCCTCTTTAAAGAACAGATCCCTATAATTATTTAATAATTTATTTAAATGAGGTTTTTCTGCATAGTTTAGAGATTTAGTCAATATTTCAAAGTCGTTACTGTTTATACTACTATAATCTAATTGGTGAATTTCATTTTCATTATATGGACAACTATTTAAAAATTTAATTTATTTGTAAAACGTCATCTTCCATGTTGATTATGGCTTTCAGAGGCCTAAGAAGTTTCTGACCTATTATACCATCAAAATCCTTATTATCAAATTTAATTAACTTCCAAATCATTTCTGCGTCTTCATTAAATTCTAGAGGCAGACTTGTTTTTATTTCTTGATTTACGTATATAGTTCTATTTATCGTGTTAAAAGAAATAGGTTTCTTAATATTACACCTCTTATATCTAGGAAGTTTATTATAATCTAAGAGAGTAGTTGAAGAACCAGTATCTATTAAACATCTGATTTTCTCGTTTTCAACTGTTAATACCGATAGTAGAGGTAGATTCGTTTTTGGCGACCTGTAAGAAAATTTATCTCACCTTCAATATGATCAACTTCCATAGGTTCTGGTCTATTACAACTTGTTCTGTAATTATGATTATTTAGTCTGGTCTATCCGGAATTATTATAATTATTATAATTGCTATTATAGTTATTATGGTTTAGTCTAGACTGTCCAGAATTGCTTGGGTAATTTTGATATTGGTTATTGTTTTGAAAATTAAAATTACTAAATTTGTTTTTCGAATTTTTATTGCTATCATATTTTGTAAAATGATTAAATTTATTTCGGTTATTAAAGTGATTATCATATTTATTAATGTTATTACTCTTTTTATCTCGAATAAGATTTAAATTTACTAGGTATTATAAGCTTCCCTAAGATTCTCTACATTTTTATTTATAATTACTGAAGCTAAATTTGTTTCAATATTATTCAAAAAGGTGTTTAAGATTAAAGATTCATTTATTTTTGGATTAAATTCTTCAGGTTTTCTACTATCAAATTCGAATTTTTCGTTTAATTTTGATAAAATAATTTTTAATTTATTGATAAAATAATTTTTAATTAAGGCTTCCTGATAAAGTTGGTGATATGTTTGCTAGACTCCGAAGTTGTTGGTTAAGATTCCTTTGATGTTTTCCCAAGTTGAATTTGGTCCCAGCGTTCGTATAACGTCCAGTGCTGGTCCTTGTATTTTATTGATGATAATCCTTTTAAAGGCATACTGCTTCAAATCAGGACTGTTGTCGAACAGGGGTAGTACTGTATCTAACTCCCTTATGAACGATGATAGGGCGTAATCATCATTTCCTTTGAACTCATGGATGCGTTGGACATCCTTTAGCAAGTCACTGGCAGTTAAAGTAAATTCTGCCCTGTTGTTGTTAACACTATTATTATTATTAACATTATTGTTATTATTTAATGCCATTTTTTCTGGTATCTCATAAATTAATGGTCTTTCACTTCTAGATTTTTGTTTTTCTTTTGGCATTAATTGTTTGTACTATTAATTTATGTTAATGTTTATGGCAATTTTATTGGCTTTATTGAAAATATATATTTATGTATATTTTTTTTTTGAAATGTTCTTTTAAGTGAATAACTGTTACACTTTTATATAAATTATGAATTGTTTTTGGTTTAATTTTAACTTGTATTACAAATTTATTATTACATAAAAATTTTTTATTTTGATTTAAACTTTAGTTTAAATTGAGTTCATAAATTTATATTTATACGATTCGATCACTAAACTGTTTATCTTTAGACAACAGAATTACCAACAACAGAATTTTTGAAAGCAAACTTAATAATAATTATTGATATAAAATGAATTTATTAACTTAAGGTACTTGGAAGCATAAAACTATTTAGTCAGCAATAATTACTTTAAGTGTGTTAATTTTATTTTTGTATGTAATTTGATATTTTAACTTTTATTTGAAAACAATTTTTTTATGTGAAAGTAATTACTGTTGATTGTGAGTTTTTTTTTTGATATTATGCAAAAATATGAAAATAAGAATTATGAAATTTATGGGAAAGAATTTTTTTTTATTATTTTAAGTTAATGGAAAATTTTGTTAAATTTTATAAAAGAAAGGCGACGGAAATGAGGTGTCGTCTTTCAAATTAATTTTATTTGAGTTTACTGACATAACTTACATTTAAGTCTCCTAACAAAGTTTTGATTGTCAACCAATCAAGCCGCCTCGATGTTGACATGATTGGATAAACGCATTTTATATATCGGCATTACGGACATACCAAGGGGCGTCTAAAATGTCCCGTAATACTCTATTTTGAAATTTTTGTATAGATTGGATATGAGTCTGCGCAGCGCAGCCCCATAACTGAATACCGTAAGCCCAGACAGGCTTAAATATTTGATTATATATCAAAACTTTGTTATATATTATCAAGTTAGAACACCTCCCCAAAAGCCATTCAAACTTTTCTGTATTCCTCCTCTACTTGAGATCTCT